AAGAAAGGGTCCATGGAGGTAACCCCTGAGTCTTTGCTTGCCTAAAAATGTATTATTTTACCTTCACCCTTGATTATTTGGCTGAATATAGATTTATCCGTTGAAAATCACTTTCTTTCTAGAATTCTGAAGGCATGCTTCCATTGTTTTCAGCTTCTTTTTCGAGGCAGGGTCTCTTCTGTCACCCAGGCTGGAGTGCAGTGGCGCAATCATAACTCACTGCAGCCGTGACCGCGCGGGCTCAGTTCATCCACCTCAGCCTCTGAGCAGATGGGACTACAGGTGGGCGCCACAATGCCCAGCTAACTTTTGTATTTTTTGTAGAGATGGGACTTCACCATGTTGCCCAAGCTGATCTCAAGGGATCTGCCTATCTCTGCCTCCCAAAATGCTGAGCCAATGTGGTACACGCGTGAGCCACTGTGCCTGGCCAGTTTTTCTTTTATTCTCTCTCTTCTTCCTTCATTTCTCGAAGGCATCTCAAACTCAATAGGCCCAAAACCAAAGTCAAACTCCATCAGAATATCCTGCTACTTCCAACCTTAAAATATATCTTAAATCACAGTGTCTTACTACATGCAACCTTCTGGTTCAAACTACCACGATCTCTCACTTGAACTTAGAATTGGATTTCCTGCTTCCGTATTTTTTTAAATCATAAAATATTTCAAATAAACCATGTGTGGCTTTATACTTTTTACTACATAAAAAGAATAAAGATCTGCCAGGTGCAGTGGCTCACGCCTGTAATCCCAGCACTTTGGGAGGCCGAGGCGGGCGTATCATTTGAGGTCAGGAGTTCGAGACCAGCCTGACCAACATGGTGAAACTTCGTCTCCACTAAAACCACAAAATTAGCTGGGTGTCGTGGTGCGTGCCTGTATTCCCAGCTACTCGGGCGCCTGAGGCAGGAGAATCTCCTGAACCCAGGAAGTCGGAGGTTGCAGTGAGCTGAGGTCGCGCCATTGCACTCCGTCTGGGTAACAAGAATGAAACTGTGCCAAAAAAAAAAAAAATATGAAGAGGTTATATACTTAAACATGGAATTGCTTTAAGTGTTTGCCATTCACTGTTCCCATGCATGCCAGCAGCTTCTTAC